GAAAGATGCTGGTCTGGGGCAGCTGGTGGCCATGCCACCCGGAAATGCAAAGGAAGATGGGGGCGGGAAGCAGCCCCAAGGACTCCTGGGGACTGCACTGAGGAGCTGGGTTGGTCTGGATGCAAAGGATCAGGAAGAGGAAGGGCCAGCCCAGGCCTCCAGAAAAGAGGCTGTAGGGTTGTGCAGGCCCAGGGAAATAGAGGGAGGTGAGGGTGGGGCCAGACCCAGAATGCTCCTGGGGACCTGGGAAGGAATTGGGTTGGTCTGGATGCAAAGGATCAGAAAGCAGTGGTGGTTCCCCGGGTGTCTAGGGCACCAAGACAAGGAATGGGACAGGACCCAGGCTAGGAGGAGAGACCGGTGGGGGAGATGGGAGGGTGAATGAGGCTGGGGGAGTCAAGGTGTGGCAGGCCAATCGACTTACCCTGGAGAGTGGCCTGCGGGTCAGAGGAGGCCTTCGGGTAGTGCAGGCCCAGGGAAGCAGAGCTAATTAACTTTTTATAAAATTGAATCCTGGATTGATTGAAGCCAATAAATACCAAATAGATCAATATTTTCATTGGAGTTGATAGTACCTAAGGAAACTGAATGATAACTGTAGGCTGTTTATTTTTCATCACTTTATTCTAATTAACTCACAAACAAAACTATCATACAATGTGTTTAAGAGAGTCTCTCGAAAACATGCCCAACCCCAAACTGTATACATCTCCGTGAATATCTATGCAGCTAGAATTGCCATTTTGAAGTCGTGGAGCTTTGCTTGAGTTTTACACTTTCACCATCAATTACATTATTTACGTTTCTGTGGTTCTTGCTACTTCAATACCCAGAAAGTTGAATTCACTTATCTACCATGGGGGAAAAAAAAAGAAAAACACCATGATGAAATTAAAACTAGAAAAAAAATTAGTGTGGTTAAGTAACCTCTTTCATGACTCATGTGTCCTGCCACATTCCATCCTTCCTCAACACCTAATAATAACCTCTCTTAATCTCTTTTCTAAATGCTATGCATACCCTTTCTTATACCTGTTTATATATACACATGTATACATTATAGGCTAGGCTCCACATCCGAAGGAGAACATACAGGAGTCTTTTCTTCCTGAGTTTGACTCACCTCCCTTAATATTATACTTTCCTAGTTCATCCATGTGATGATTAATCTTCACTGTCAGCTAAGGAGGATTTAGAACCACCTAAGAAACATACCTCTGGGCATGCCTGTGAGGGGCATTGCAAAGAGCTTTAACCAAGGAAGAAGAGCTATCCTGGATGTGGTAACACTATGTCATAGGCTGTAGTCCAGCAGTCAAGCCTCTCTGCTTCCTGACTGCAGACACAAGGTACCCAGCTGTCTCAGGGCTTCACCACCATGCCTTCTCTATCACCAGGGACTGTATTCCCTCAGTGGACCCAGATAACCCTTCCTTCCTCGAGTTACTTTTGTCAGTTATTTTGTCACAGCAAAAAGAAAATTAATGAACTCAGGATTGTTCATGTAAAGTGCTGGCATGATTATTCTACAAACGTATTTTTTAAGTTAAAATACTCTTATTGAAAAGCTGAACCAAGTTTACAATCAATGATGTAGTAGATCCATCTTTTGAAATAAATTTGTGTTTTTTGAAATTTGTTTTTTGATTTTATAATAAAAAGATGAGTTCCAACAAGAGAAAAGATACAGTTGGGCAGACTGATCTCTGGATGAATGGACTGTAGATAAAATATTATACACTTGCTCCTTAAACTTCTCAACCTGGAACTGTGGTCCACATTATCCACTACAAGAATTATCTCTGAAACACATTTGCTTATGACAAGTCTTGGTATGAACAATTTGGAAATTTAAACTAATCTTCAGCATGCCATTGGTGAAAGGAGCAAAGGAAAGGAACAGAGATTGGAGACTAGCCCCTGCCGGGATTAGTGCTTTGGCTTCAATCACTTATCCTGGGTAAAATGAGGATGGTAATTATACTTGTCACCAAAACTGTGAGTGTTGCCCTTCGAATGCCTTGGCAAAGCCTGTGCTGGGTAACTGCAATGCCGCAGGACCACAATGTTCTTGACATTGTGCAATTGACATTTTGCAATCCCGATATGTAAAGCTAAAAAATTGAAGACAGAAAAATATATTTCCTCCTTAGAAAATGAAAGCCTTTCTAAATAAAAATTTGGGAAAAACCTTTAAAATATGTGCATAGCCAGGAATCATTTTCTTTGTAAGATCAAATTCATTTCTTTAGAGCTACAGAAGCCACATCTGACATCTGATGCACTTGAACAGGCAACATGTTGAGAGTGTGCCCTTTTTTTCTTGATGATTGTTTTTCCTATTTTACTTTGTATGTATGAGTGTTTTGCCTACATGTATGTATGTGCACCATGTGCATGTCTGCTCATGTAGACTCCAGAAGAGGATTCAGATCCCCTGATTTTGAGTTATATATATGTGGTTGTGAGTGTTCATGTAGGTGCTGGAAATGAAACCTGGGCCCTCTACAAGAGTAAGAGGTACTCAAATGGCTGAGCCATCTCTCTTTATTGTTAAATTTTGTGTATGTGTGTATGTGGGTACACACATTTGTACATGTGAGTATGCATGTAGAGGACAGAGTTTGGTGTCTGATAGCTTCCTCAGTCATTTTCCACATTGTTTTTCCAGACAGGGTCTCTCAGTGATCCTAGAGAACTCACTGGTTCTCCTGGACTAGCTAGTCAGGAAGCTCCAGGGATCATCTTGTCTCCATCTCCCTAGAATTGGGATTACAGACATGTGCCACCATACCCAGCTTCTTACATGAGTGTTGAAGATCTGAACTCAGGTCCTCATGTTTGCACATCACCTTAACTCCCCTAGCCATCTCTCCAGTCCCCCAGAGTGTATTATTTAATGTTTAAATAGGAATGCTACCTTTCAAATCTAACCTGAGATCACTGTAAGATTCAATGAGACAACTACGATGTTTAATTCTTATCAAATTGACAGGATGTAGAATCACCTCAGACACAAATCTTTAGTTAATGTCTGTAAAGGCATTTCCAGAGAGGTTTAACTGAAGATGAAAGACCCATCCTCAGTATGAGCAGTGCCATACCATGGGTTGGGATCTTGGATTGAACAAAAAAGGAATAAACACTCCAGCACTCATCCAGGCTGCAGATGCAATGTGACCAGATGCCTCACTCCTGCCTTCTGCACCATGATGGACTGTACCCTCCAGCAGTGAACAGTGAGTTAAAAAAAAAAAAAGCCTCTTTACTTAAGTTGTTACTGTCAAGTATTTTGTCACAGCAAGGAGAAAAGTAATACAGTAACATAGTGAAACCCACACCTTTATAAGCTTTTAAACAAATGAACTTCTCACCATCTTCTGAAACAGGAAGCCAAGCTTGATCCCTGGGTTCTTTTCACCAAAGCACCTTCCAAGCTGTAGCTTGAATCCAAAGTCCCCTACACACCTTCTCTCTGCAACACATTAGCATCTCTTGCTCAGTCACTGCTCCCTGCTCCCATCCCTTCCTTCAAGATTTCCCAGCCAACTTCATGCTCCCTTTAAAAATAAAAAGTGTATTTAATAAAGTGAGTCTGTGCATGCTTAAGATCACTGTGCCCTCTTTCCTGCTCATACACGCTAAGAAATACTTGGAGAAAATTCGGACTAGTCAGAGAAAGCACTATTTGGATTAGAATGTGGTGCACTTGGATTCAGAAGCTTTGGGTTCTAAATCTAGCATGGTTCTTTATTACTACAAAATCTGTCCCCAGTTCTGGGTCGCTGGTGTGATAACCTAAAATTTGATACCGACAAAACTCCTATCAGATTTATCTACAGTGTTTGTTACAGGCAAAATTCTAGTCCTGCCTGAAACCACTGTGGGTAGGGCTGGGAGTTTGCTCTCCAGAGTTAAAAGCTTCTCGTAATTCTCACACAGACCAGCACTACTGGAGCTGCCCCTGTTTCTCCACACCCGGCTGAGTAGCAAGGATGGGGTTGTGCGGGCTTGCAACCCTGGGAGCCTGTCGGAAAGATTCTTCCCCTAGCCTCCAGATCCATTGTATCTGCATGGGCATCTCCATCTTACCAAACAACCAGGAGATTCCGTAACACTAGATGCTTGAGAATCTTTAGGAAAAGTTCACAACCTGCATACCTGGGCCCCACCTCGAGTGTCCAGCGCTTATTTTGGAGGTGTGGGCTGGGGCAAAGGGCTCTTACAAGTTCCTCAAGCTATCGTACAGTCAAGGTGAACTCAGGATAGTGTCCAGAAAACTGCAGCCTTGGGGGTTAAGCAAACACCTGCGTTAAACTGGCCTTTGTGGGCTCTCCTAGAACCTTAAAGACGAAGGGACACTGAAGTTCTAGGTTACCAGCCCTAAAACAGGAATCCTCCCTCCCACCCTTCTCCAGATGCCCCAGCCACCTTCGCCTCACACCCCCGTCCCCGCCCCCGCCCACCCAGCTCGTCCCGCCCCGCCCTCTGGCTCCGCCCATTGTGACGTGCCGCAGCGGTCGGGAACATGCGCACTGAGCCCCGTGCCCGGCGCGCCGCTGCGCCTCGGCGCTGTCATTCTCCCCGGCGCGGCGGCCCGTGTGGACTGCCGTGCTCTCCCGCCGGTTGTCCTGCCCTGCGCGCCCACGGTGTGACGGCTCCTCCGGGGCGGGCTGGCGGCACTGCAGCGCATCGGTGCCTCTCGTGCGGGCGCCCCCGTGGAGTCGCATTCCGTCGGAGCGAGAGACACGCAGCCGGGGCTCGGAGCGCAGTCGTCCGGGGCCGGCTGCCGCCGCCGCGCTTGCCCAGCGCCCGAGCTCAGTCCGAGTCGTCGCCGCCGCCCGGTGCGCCCCGGAGAGTGCTCGGCCCCGGGCACGGCCCAGCCGAGGCGAACAGGACCGAGCGGCCGCGAGTCCTGCGCCCACCGTCGTCGACCACCACGGGGCCAACCGGGCTTCGCGCGGCGGAGTTGCAGCGCTTCTTAGAGCGCAGAAGCCCCAGAAGACCCCTGCCTCGTGCGTGCCAGTAAGTTGTTGGTAGTTTCCGAAGTTGCAAGGAACCGTGGGAAGGACAGGTTCGGCTTTATTTCTGTCGTGCCAGGCCGAGGTGGCATCTCCTGTTAGCTGAGCTCCAGCTGGAGGAGGGCGTACTGGGCTGCAAAGGAGGGGACATGGCACTCTAGGACTCAGGGCCGGAGTCCAGGGCTGGCTCCAGCTCCTGCCGAATGCGCCAGTTGGAAATGTGCAAGGAGAGGACAGGTGCTCCGAGGGCATCCGGCCCGCAGCTAATTGCACATTCCGCGCTCTTGATTCTGCGCGGCATGGGGTCCGGGGCATCCACCACCTCTGTCCCAGGAGACTGCTGAGATTTTTTTTTCCCCCCTGGAGGACTGGCAGCGCCCTGGGAAACTGACATTCCTGCTCAGGCCTGCAGACTTCCCGCGCATCCCACTTCATTCTTCCCCTAGACAGAAGTTGCCAACGTTCCCATTATTGGAGCCTAGTCCTTTAGGGAAAAAACAACTTATATGTCAACCGAGTGTTTTGTGCTCTAAGGCATATAAAATGAGAAAACCGCGCTGTGCGTGTGCACTCACAAGGATGTAGGCAAGTCTCAAAGAAATGGGATTCAGATGATGGCTCTTGGGTTGTCTTGCATCCTTTCTTTATGTAAGCCTCCAGGCTGGGTAACCTCGCCTCTGCAGCGGCTGCAGCTGTGCCTCCACTCCATTTGTTTATAGTCCAGCTTTATATATTTAATGCAAATGCTGACATGATGTAGGGGTCTGTAGTCAGAAACAGTGCACTCTTCGAATTGAAGTGTCTTCTAATAGGGAGCCTGGGAGGAAGAACTCAGTATATTTTTCAAGGCAGCTCAAGGAATTAGACACATAAATTATGTTTTAAAATAGCATGCACTGTGCAGAGAGCATGCACTGGACCCCTTTTTGAACACATTCTCCTTTGTTTTAGAAAAAGTGGAAATTGTTCATGCTGGAAAATTGTTGAGTCTGAAAGTTAAGAGTGCTGATTGGCTTAATTATCTTAATAAACAAAGAGCATGATTTATAGGTAGGCTGCAGTGGCCTACTTTGAAGGATAGAAATCTTTAACCTTTCTTTTTCAGCTGCCCCCTAGAGATTCCTTTTAAGCAGAGCAATAGATTAGCATCATTGAAGTTTAATACTTAAGTTGATTAAATTTGTAAAAGAAATATTTTGAAATACCATACAGCCCTTCTGTGTGACTGATAGACGGTGAATATTAGAAAGAAATGAAACATTCAGAGTGTTTAGCACGGAAGGGTTTATGTTAACCAAGGAGCTCACATCGCAACTGCCCTGAGGCAGGAATATATCTGTAGATATGGAGGGACAAAACTGTGTACAGGAAAATAGATGTGTGTGGATTTGGATTTGAAATAATTGTTGAAATTCAACAATATTTGAATTCAAAATAATTGTTGATAGTCATGAGTATTTGTTAATAATGTAAGGTTTATTTAGGTGATCTTTAGAGAGAGGAATGTATATATTTCAGCACACAAAACAAGATGATTAGCTAGTTATAGGCACACAATTAAAAGATAGTTTTTACTTTAAGAATTCTAAGTAAATAAGAAAAATGTCATTTCAGAAGCTGAAAAGCTAGTCAATACATTGTGGTTTATTAGGGCATCCCATACTGACCTCTAGAAATCATTTCATCCAAGGGTGAGCTGTCAAGCAGGCTGACCCAACAAGCTCTCTTGTGTCATGATTAGGAGGGAGGCACATGGAACCAGGCTGCAAGTTACTTAAACCCTGGGCTTCAGTGTTCCCATCTGTAAAATGGGTATGACAGTAGTACCTACGTCATTGGATTGTGGTGAGTATTACCTGGTCTCCTGTATGTGAAGGTGTTGAGCTAGTTCAATATATTGAGCTAATTCTAGAAAAAAATGATCATTGTTGTGAAAGGAAATGTGTCAAGATATACTGTAAACATTAAATGGCTACTGATGGGCTGGAGAGTTGGCTCAGTGGTTAAGAGCACTGGCTACTCTTGCAGAGGACCTGGGTTCGATTCTCAGCACCCACATGGTGGCTAACAACCATCTGTAACTCCAGTTCCAGAAGAATTTGACCCCCTCTTCTGACCTCCATGGGCATTTCACAACACGGCTGCATTTTCATACATGTAGGTAATGCTCATACACATAAAATAAAAACAATAAATAAGATATTTTTAAAAAATGGCTACTGATGGAGGTCAGTAGAAACAGGTCACATGTATAATAGGAGAAGGGATATAAACCCTAGTGAATCAGACACCAGCAAGTGTTGGTCTTACTGTCTCCAGCAGTATCTCCCTGTAGGCCTTCGAGGTAGGTGGCTTCATCATTCTGTTAGAGAAGAGGAAACGGGCTGAGGGAGATGAAATAATATAAATCAGAGTTAACATTTTAAGTATGCTTGTTTGAAAGTGTTCGTTTTGACTCTGCTGCCTCAACTTGCAAGCGAAGTAGGTGGGTTATTATCTTCAGTTTCTCCACAAGAAAATATAAGCTTAAAGATTAAAGTACTCAAAATGCTTAACAATACCCCCACCCAGTTTTCCATGACTGTGAGCTATTATTATCATCATATGTTTAAATGCCCAGCCCTGGTTGCATGCCTCCTTTAGTGGAGAGATACCAGGGAGTTTCTCTTTCAGTTACATCTAGATTCTCTTGCTTCTTTCTTCCTCATTCATATATTTAGAGTCAAAAGAAAACTTGGTGTAACACTGTATACTTCATACTGGAGGTTAATGCTCTGTGTTCTGTCTCCTACCTGCCTGAGTAGCTACAGTAGTCCACACTAAGTCAGGTAAGCCACTACAAGCAGCAGTCCTCAGTCCAGCAATAGCATGGACCAATATCCAGTGGACAACTTCCTCAGGCAGAGAGGGGCCTCGTGCATTACCTCATACCAAATGTTCTAAAATGGAAATCATTTCTCCATCACAGCAGTAGACACACTTCTTCAGCCTGAGGTTCAAACTCATAGGAGGCAGTTTGGGAAATTCTATGTGAGCAGTCTTGGTTCAAAATCTCCATGACCTGTTGAACTTCTCATCTGAGTGCCAGAGTCTGAGAGTGATTGAGTGGCCATGTATTTTTGTAGCTTTCTTAAGTTCACCTACATGCTATGGTGTTCTGTCTGGCCTTTTAGTCATCTTTATCATCTAGATACTAAAATGTAATTGCTATAGAAAGCCCCTAGGGAACAGACTGCCCCCAGATGATTTAACGTTTAATGAAACTCCTATCTACCATGAAAGATACTTCAAGCTAGCTGTTCAACATTGGCTTTCTTTTATTTATGACAAAGCTCCCTAGGAATGAGCTTCTAGCAGCAGCCTTTGTGAGCCTGGGGACACAGGACCACAGTTGCAGTGTGCCAAAAAGAACCCTTTCTGTCAACTAAACATCTTATATCTCTGAACTATCTTCTACTGCGAATTTAGCCCTCCTTTTAAGAGAACACCTATTCCTCTTGCCTCTGTATTTCATCTGTATTTCAACTGTTCCTCTGTTCTGGGTTTTCCCATTGAACATCTCCCTGGAGCATGTCTGTAACTTGAACTAAGTCTGTGCAAATTCTTCATCATTTGCATATAGTTGTTCTGTTTCCTGTCTATGTTTTTTTTTTTTTTTTTTAGTGGCTTATCGGTTGCCAGTTACAAATCTACAAATAACTTTTCCTCTGAAGTCAGGTTTTCTTTTGCTATCAGAAGGACCATGTATAATGTACCATCCTTAATGTACCTAATCACATCTGATCTCTGAAGCTAAGCAGGATCAGACCGGGTGAGTACTTGAATCGGAATATGGGAATAAATGAATGACCATCATTCACTCCTAATCCCATCTACTATTTTAAATTTTTACTTCATGTTTGGGGAGCTGGGAGCTTATATTTCCATTGATCTCATCTCATGCACTGTGAGGGGGCATGTTTCTGGTTATGTAGGCAAACAGTTCATAGGCAGTGTGGCAGATACCACACTTCAAAACCAGCTCATTGCAGAGTTCAAGGAAATGGGGTGGGTTTGAGGGAAGACAGCCTTGAGCATAATGTATCTGTCCACCTTTCTAGTTTGTGCTTGCATCTTTTCTGATAGGAGGTGGAGCCAATAGCCGTCCCATCTACTATTTTAAATTTTTACTTCATGTTTGGGGAGCTGGGAGCTTATATTTCCATTGATCTCATCTCATGCACTGTGAGGGGGGCATGTTTCTGGTTATGTAGGCAAACAGTTCATAGGCAGTGTGGCAGATACCACACTTCAAAACCAGCTCATTGCAGAGTTCAAGGAAATGGGGTGGGTTTGAGGGAAGACAGCCTTGAGCATAATGTATCTGTCCACCTTTCTAGTTTGTGCTTGCATCTTTTCTGATAGGAGGTGGAGCCAATAGCCGGCTGGAAATGCTTGCCATGTGTTTGCTTCTGTGCCAACAACATTGCACATAGTATTTCCGTCAACCCAATACTTTGTATGGTAGTTCCTGTATTATCTTTTGCAGAAGCATAAACAGGGCTAGAAAGGTCAAGGCATGTGTCCAAAATCACATTAGTGAGTTTCATAATAAAGAGGAGAGCCCAGAGCATTTTAGTACTCCTTACAAAACATCCCCTTGCCTCTGGTTTTTGAGCCTTCCTAATAAGTTATATTGTAGAGGTGAACTGTCTTAGTTTTGCAGAACCCTCCTGCCCACAGCTGGAACTGTCTGTATAAGAAGCATCATCTCTGTGTCTTTGTTGAGGCAGAGCTTAAGCTTAATTTTTTCTAGAACTGAAAATCCACATTTTGTTTTGTGAAAAGGAAAGAATAAGAACCACATGTTTACTTCATAAATAGGAAGCATGAAACCTTCCTGTGGAGAGGCCTGCTCACTTATCTGTATTTGGGGTTAGATCTTGCATCACTCTCCTTACAGAAAGGAGAAGTGGAAAGGCTTAAGATTTTTCTCAAGTGATTTAAAAAAAAATGTTTATTTAA